GTGTGTGTGTGTGTTTATTCTCATTTGAATATCGGGTTTCTGAACTTAATTGCTGTTATATTTTTACTGACTGTTGCTCAACACTGTTCTAAGACATGTGACAGTGATTGGTCATATACTTAACATCAATATCTAAAAGTTTACTGCTTCAATTTTGTAAACAAAGTTATAGGTAACTGTTAATGAGATGGAAGGGGGGTGATTGTAGCTAGTAGGCATTCTATTATATACATGTACTGGAGTTAATACTGTCTTTACCTAACATATGTAGCTAAGGTAGAGACATTATTGTTTGCACGGTATTAATGAGTGGGAGGCCAGGGATTAAGATTGGAAGTACTGTACAGGTGTTATCTCGGAATCTTCCTCAAGATGATTGGTCATGAGTTTAACATCTAGACTTTCTGGTTTTCTGTATAAGAATTTAGTTCACATTAGAGCTGCAAGTTCCTCCTGATATAGATGTACTGTACTGTACTGTACTGTACTGTACTGTCAGTTAGTACACAGTGGCATCAGATGTATTAGTCCCTTATAGAAAATAGGTCTTTTTGCGTGACAAGATTTGGTCATATGATTCCTGAAAATGCGCTGAAAATTGAGTGTTTGAATTACCAAAATTAATTCAGAAAGATCCAGTGGATTTTACTACTGTAGAATATTAAGAGTTTTAATATTTTCACTCATATTAATTACAATTTTCCAGTAAATCACATATAAGATGAATAGGAATAAAATTGAAAATTTCCACTGAAAGTGTTAATCAATGGTACTGTATACAAGTACTCCTGTAGTGTATCTTGATGCTGTCAGAATACATTGGGACTTATATGTATTCTGTGGTACACTGTAATTATATATTGTACATCTCAGTTCGTTATGTAGTGAAGAATTATTTCACTGTGGTTTTATTCATTATATCAAAGTGCAGTAAGTTTCATTCATTTTCTGTGCTGCAGTCAGGATTATTTCTGGCTCGACTGTAACCTAACTGAGCATTTACCAAACTTCAACTGCTTAATCATAGTTAAAACTTGATTG